CTCCCCCTTTCCTCTTCTTCTCTTATCTCTCTCAAACCCACAGACCCATCAATCACCCAAACCTTGCATTAATTAGTGCAAGGTCACAAGTTCATCAGAGAATCATGCTTCTTGTCTCTCATGTCCACGATTCTCGCAGAATACTTCCCATTTTTATCACTCCATTTGAAATCTCCCAAATTCGAAAACCCTAAGCCTGGAGATGAAACTTCAAATCCACCATGGCTTTTCAAATCCATGGCATGCATGGCCTTCCATTCTGTTTCTACACCACAAAGCTCATCATTCCTTTCCCTTTTTGCCATTCGATTTCAAAAACCCTCTTTGAAGAGGTCATACGAGATGGTGAAACTTCAACTCGCCAGACCTCCTCCTCTGTCTTTTCAAATCAAAGGCAATTTTGGGATATTAGCTGGCCTCATTGATATTCAACACCCATAGGTCAAATGCAATGACCTCTGGGTATTAGGGTTCCAACCAACGGTCCTTCGCATATCATCGATTTAATCTCCCTTCTGAGGTAAAAATCTTCACTATGTTTCCCTTTGTTCTTTTTCAAATTCATTCAATCTTGCTGTCATCATTAATCTGTCATCAGTTTCCACTATTATTTTGAATTCTCTGAACCCTAGAGCCTTAATGGCACTATAAATAGAAGCCTTGAATGTTCTCATCTACCACCACCTAACATCACGAATTAAATATCTGATACTGAAGAAAAACACACACACAAACACTAAGAGGTTTAGGATTCCAAGTCGTAAGGTTCTTACTAGTTTTCTTCTCTTTTTGCTGAGTACCATCGCTGGGCTAAACTTGAGATTTCTGGGGTTTTAAGCAACTGAAAAAGCTATCTTTAGGTCAGCACCTCTCTCACTTTTCACTTTTGTTCGTTTCTTTGAATGATACAAGTATGCCATGTTAGGTTCTGTATACTGCAATTGTTCTATGGTGTTTAATATGTTAATACTTGTACTATGTTAGTTTAACGACTACTTGTGATTAGTTTTCCTGCTAAGAGTCTTTATATGATGGTTGATTAAACTATAATTGATTCCTGCTGA